CGAACGTTTATTTTAGAGGGGGAGGATGTAACGACCCGGCCGGTCGTTTCATGAGTTACCGCTCTGTTTCCCTCATTTCTGCTTTCTTATGTAATGTTCAGCTACATTTCATTGTATAGTGTTGGTTGGTTCGGGTTCGGATTAGTTTTGGAGTGTTATGAGATACTTAATCTCTTAAGTTGGCCATTTAGTTTGAAAGGTCAACCGGAAGTTGACTTGTGAGTAAACGATCTCGGAACATGTTTTTTTTGGTTCGGATAGCTTCGTAAGGTGACTTAGGACTTAGGAGCATGTTCGGAATGTAATTCGGAGGTCCGTGGTAGATTTAGGCTTGAATTAGCGAAATTGGAATTTTAGCATTTTCCGATTGGTAGTGAAAATTTTGATATCGAGGTCGGAATGGAATTTCGGAAATTGGAGTAGGCCCGTTGTGTCATTTGTGACATGTGTGCAAAGATTTCAGGTCATTTGGACGAGGTTTGATAGACTTTTTTGACCGATTGCGGAATTCAGAAGTTTTGGAATCATTAGGCTTGAATCCGAGGGTGTTTTGATGATTCGATATTATTTTGAGTGTTCCGAATGTTGGTATAAGTTTGAATAATGATATGTGACTTGTTGCATTTTTGGTTGAGGTCCCGAGGACCTCGGGATGGTTTTGGATGGTTGTCGGAAAGTTTGGACTTGGAGTTTTACAGTAGAAAAATTGCTACTTCTGTTGTTTCCGCACCTGCGGATTGGGGACCACAGGTGCGATGGTCGCAGGTACATGGAGGAAGCCGCAGGAGCAGAAGATTTACCGAACATGCGATCCCGCAGGTACAAAGCCTGAGGCGTAGGTGCGAATGTTTGGCCCTTAAGTGAAAAACCGCAGGTGCGGCTATTTTGTCGTAGAAGCGGTCTGCAGATGCGGGAAATGGACCGCAGGCACGAGATCGCTGGGCAGAAAGTATAAAAAGGTCCTCTTCGAGAATTTTGCTAAGTTTCTCCATTTTTGAAGATGGGAAGTAAGCTAGGGCCGTGATTTTTCAAGGGAAATCGAAGGTTATCAGTTGGGTAAGCCACTTAAGATTCATTACTTGTGTTTATGATCATTTTTCTATTGTTTAATTATGGTATTAGTGGAAATTAAGGAAGAAAGTTGGGGTATTAGGGCTTGAAATTGGAGAGCTTTGAGTGGGAATTTGAGGGGTCATTTGAGGTCCCATTTTAATACTTTTGATATGAATAGACTCGTGAGTGAATGAGGATTCTATTGATGCAATTTTTATCAGATTCCGAGACGTGGGCTTGGGGGTAGGGTTTGATAAATTTCGGGATTCTTGATGGAATTTGATTATTTTCGCATGAGCTTCGTTCCCTTGGCATATATTGATGTTATGATTCTGATTTTTGGATAGATTCAACGCGAGTTGAGGCAGAGTTGAGAGGCAGGGGCGTCGCGGAGTAGGATTTCATCCGATTTGAGATAAGTAACAATTGTAAATCTAGACCTCAGGGTATGAAACCCCGAAATTTCGTATTGTTTTGATAAATAATGTGACGCACATACTAGGTGACGGGTGTGTGGGTATGCACCCGTAGGGATTGCGACTTGGTCCGTCCCGTGGCAACTGTATAGTTGCATATTTTGGTATACTATATATGATATTCATTTGTTTTAGAAATGAATCTATTAACTTGGGTTGAATGTCATGTATGGGGCCTTTGTGCCAAACTGTTTAGACCCTTAGGGGTATTTTGCTATTTTCCTCACACTGTTTGATTTGAAAGCACATCCTCAGTCATGATATTACATGTTTACTGTTGATTCAGTTTCATTACAATATTTTCAAATATATGAAAACTGTTTGGGCTTAGCTTCCCTGATTTTCACTGAAATACCCAAACGGCTGTGAGGTTAATGACTGAGAGAGATGACGAGGATTGGATGGTGAGGATTATATATATATATATATGGATCGGGTTGCATGCCACAGTGATATTATTATATATGGATCGGGTTGCACGTCGCAGCAATATATTGGATCGGGCTGCGCGCCGCAGCGATATAGCACTTGGGTTGTAGGAGCCCCTCCGGAGTTTGTACACCCCAATGAGCGTAGTCGACTATATATTATGGATCGGGCTGCACGCAACAACGGTTATCATTATGAAATATCTATTGAGCTGGAGCGATGAGTGTGAGTACTGATTGACGAGAGCCGAGTCACGAGTGACTGAGAGGCTTGTCCCAGAGGCTATACTTATGAGTGATACTTTGCCCGAGGGGCTTATTTGTGAAATTTCCTGTTTTCACTCTTCTTTTATACTGGGCCTCTATTGAAAATGTTGATAAATGTTTTAAAGAATTTTCATTGAAACTGGAGTTTTTACGCGGTATTTGGTTATTTAACTGCAGATTTTGACTTTGATATTTCTGTTGAGATTCTTGATAAAGTATGCATATGATTTTTAATGCTCGTCACTACACTCAGACTTTATATACTTTAGTTACTTACTGAGTTGACATACTGACGTTACTCTTTGCACCTTGTGTGCAGATCTAGGTGCCCGAGCATCAGAGTGAGAGCTTTTAGCACCTTCAGAGTTTTATCTGGAGATTGCAAGGTAGCTACACGGCGTTCGCAGTCCTGTCTTTCTCATTCCTATTCTAGTACTTTGTATTTCAGACCTATTTTGTATTAAGCAGACAGTGTTGAGTGTACTTATTAGCTCATGACTAGTGACACCAAATTCATGTTGTGTTGATGTATTTTTGTACTTACGCGTATTTATTTTGATATTTCTAAAAATGAAAGATTTGAGACTTAATTTGTTTAGAAAGGTAAATTTTATAAATGATCTCCGTATTGTTCGTGTTGTTTTGGGCTGGCCTAGTACTATGATAGGCGTCATCACGATCAGGGTGTTTGGGGTCGTGACAAAATTACTTGGTAGTTCATATATGTTAAATACTTGCCCCGTGATAGTTGGAGACTTTAAATTAATATTATGTCTAAGAATTATAAATTATGTTTCTTATCTCACTATTATTGATGTATTTCATGCCTACTTATGATTTCTATATTTTATTTATTAACCCTTAGTAAGTGTCATTATTGTCACAACTTCTTCAAGGCTAGACTAGATACTTACTGGGTGCATGTTGTTTATGTACTCACGCTACACTTCTGCACTAATCGTGCAGGATCTGTGGTAGGTGAATCTGGCAGCCATTCAGGCGCGTACCCCCGCTACCTGGAGACTTAGTGGTGAGCTGCTTCTTATGCTCCGTTCTGCAGCACCCGGAGTCTCTTCCTTATTGTATTTATTTTTCTGTCTATCTTACTCAGATAGTAGTACACGAGATTTTGTATATTCTACTAGTTTGCTCGTTCACTTGTGACACCGGATTTTGGGAGATTCTAGCAGGTATTTCATGATTTTTTATTATTAAATCACTACTTCACTCTTTTGTTTATTTCATGCTTTACATTATTACGATCACCTATTAATCGTTCCTTTATTAAATAAAATCAATGACTTTAAAAATATTAAAATGAACAATTATATAGATATTTCATTGTTGGCTTGCTTAGCGGCGACGTTAGGCGCCACCACGATCTATAATGGGAATTGGGTCGTGACACTTCAAAAAAAAAAAAAAACTTCATGTTGAGTCAAAATGTATCGTATAAATTGAACAGGTGGAGTATTAGGTTATTCTATTGAAGATAATTGACTCTAACATTCGTCATTTTAGATTTTATATTTGTCGCTTATCTAATTTTAGGAGCTATTTAACCAACTCTGCATTTCGAAGTCTTTAAAAAATCAAAAGATTTATTTTTAAATTTTATAAATCATGATAAAAAATATATGACAAAGTTTCAACCATTTTAGATCCAATATTAGGTCACAAAAATAACAACATATTCCCAAAAGATATTCCCTTCAAATTCAGACGAAATACATGTGCCACGCTTTTTAATAGGTGTTGAATAATATTTGGTTGAAGTAAAGCAGTGAAGAGGCTAGTGGTTCTTAGGAAATTATTTGTGCAGGGAGGTTAGATGATTAGGCCTCGTTTGTCAAAAAAAAAAATCCAAAAATGTATTTGTCTATAAAATTTTGCAAGTTTTTTGAATTTTTTCGAAAATGAGTTTTTCAAAAACCAAAAAGTGATTTTGACCACTTTTTCAAAATTTTCAGAAAAACTTTTTTCCCCACTCACAAAAATGCAATATTTTTTCAAGTGAAATGCATGTCCAAACATAATTTTAAATTTCAAATACCAATTTTCAACTTAACTCCAAATATTACTTTTTTTTCAAAAATTATAATTTTTATGTCCAAACGCCTACTTAATTTTCCTCGGTAAATAAATTTTTTTAATTATCAAATATATATTTGGTTGAAGTTTAAAAAAAACGATTATTAAGTTGAGGTTGAAAAAGAATATTTGGAAGAGACTTATGAAAGATGAAATAATTTACAATAAAAGATGAGAGGTGCAAAATTAGTTAGAGTTGGGGAAATGAACCACAAACAAAAGGACAGAGATATCACAGACTTGTTAAGAATTGAACCAGGGGAACATCATTTGTTCCTCTATAGTTGTGAATATCTCAGAAGATTTTCGTGAGAAAATTGAATCACAATACAAAGATTTTCGTGAGAAAATTGAATCACAATATCTCAAAACCTTCTCCTTTCCCAGAAGCGTTTGGGAGCACAGGGATCTTTCGTAGGCTTAGGCATCTCGTCAAAGTCCACCATTATGGTCCTTCTCTTTGCTTTGTTTTGCTCTGCCATCCATGTTCTAAATGCTTGTTCAGTAGGCAATACAAACAACAACAATGCCTCAATCTAAAGAAATATAGAATCAACTATATTAGTCTTCGCTTTCCATGTCGCTCCATTTAAACTCGTCTCAATTCAAATATTAAGCAGACAATATAATATAGAACAGTATGACATAGCCACCAAGCCAAGCTTCTCTTGTAGTTTGCAGCATATTAGTCCATCTCTTGTTTCTGTTTATTCAAGAAAGAGCTCAAGGCAAGTGTTAAAGCAGATGATGAACCAATAAAAGCTGTCTGCAGCAAGAGCCGTGCCTGTCATAGAAACCATGGTATCAGTTTTCTCAGCAATGTATTTTTAGCTTTTAGTCTGAGTCCAGAAATTACCTCTGCCTTATCAATGGAGATCACTTGCTCTTCAATGTCATACAAGGGTACATTTAGATTTGTAACACATAGGCCTGACAACCAAATCGTCCGAAACAATAAACAAGGAAGGTGACAGTGTTAATCTGCCAAAATCACTTGTGCCCACCACTTGTGCACCTGGGGTCTAAAAGGCTATGATCGTCGAGTCCCACAGAAATCGGAAGCAACTGATTCTGGCATTTATGTCTTGGTGCAACACCGGGGTTGAGTAATCTGTGCTGACAATAAGGAAACCATTTTGACTCCAAATCCGTCACACTTTTGTACAGGTTGTCTATGCATCCAAGTCCAGAAATCCCATTTAGAACATGGATCACTGATCCAATAGGAAAAGTGAGGAAACTGAAGAGAAAATCGACGAATGAATCATTTGCTTCAGCATACAATATCTTGTTTCTAGACTTGTTTAATATTAGCTTGAGGTTTATTTTCCAGGAGTTTCCGGTGTACTGGAATGCATTAGGAACCAATGGTGAAATTCCTGGCTCAGGCATGATATTGTTGTCAACTATATTAGCTTTCTTGTTCAAAAACACCTCTGTCAAGGGAGATTTTGAGATCAATGAACAAGCGAGCAGTCTTAATATCTGGACAGAGAAAAATAAGTAAAATGCACATTAGATAACATAAAAAAGAAGAAGAGGGAATTCCTAGCACGAAACTGCATAAGAGTTTGTAGTACATCACCTGAGTTGCAATTTATTCCCTGAATCAATTTCCTCTTTAGTTTTTTTTTTCTCTTTCTATAAGATTGAACATCTTAAACTGTTTTTTGGTACCTTGTTATTCAAAGATTACCCCTCATCTGAAGGTACTTTTAGATCATTTAGTATAAAAAATTTGCAATATGTGCTTGTTCCTCTCGAAGGGATGGTGCATATATTACAGAAAACATTCATTCTTAAACTGACATACCATGTTTCCACATTCTGCTGTCCTACATTGTCCATTTTTATCATTTGAGACTTGAATATGGCTCAACATTCGTTTTGCTATCTGTATATCTGCTATGCATATTTCTTATTTTATCTCTTTAAGTTAGCTACTTCAGTCAAATGATATGATCAAGAACCTAAGCTCATTACTCTAGATTACAACAGCAAACAACAGCTAGGTCATTGGCTATGTGAATCTCCACTGACTATGTCGCTCCATTTAACTTCATCTTAGTCCAATATTATGCAAAATAAAAATAAAATGTACTGGAATTTCTTTTCTACTGACATGACCAAAAGGCTCCTAGAAATCATAGGGCCTAAAGTAACGTAATAACACGACTAAAACTTAATCCCAACTAATTTATATATGCCTATATAGATACTTTTCTTTTCTTGTGCGCTATGTTTTGCTAGGTCTGCATGGATTTATTACTCTAGATTGCTTATTCAAAATCAAG